GCTTGATGACTTGGACATGCATTTAAGAAGAAATTCAATAAAAAACCCTCCCGGTATGTAGTTGCTGTCCCTCCCTTGAATATATGTGAGCTTCAAGTAAAGAGAAAACAAAGATAATTAACAGGCACGTTTAATAAAGATCTTTTCATCGTTACACTCTCCTAATGACTTCAATCTAAATAGAATGAAAAGGCACGCCGGGAGATGTGTTGGTATTCCCGCAATAATTTGTGCGTAATAACCCGTCGTAAATTTTAGATAAATAACCCATATGAACGGCTCCATTATTTGCTTGAAAATGCCCTTGAATGAATAAATATTTCAAATGATAACTCACCCAACTGAATACTTCTGAACCCCCTAGGATGTATAATGAATGCTGATTTGAAACCCTGTTCCGAATTCTGTTAAATTGTATAAACCGAGGCGCTAAGCGTGGCCTTTTGATGAAGCGCGCCCTTACGAGACGGCCGTGAAATCGCGGCACTGCTGCAACAATACTTTTTGGACGCATAATATACATGTACCGTATTCATTAAGTTATCATCAGTCTCACGCTGTCAGAAGACTTGGAAAATAACCAGTCTAACTTATTTTGGTGGAAGAAACATTGGTTGTTAAAATTTGTTGAGCGACATTTTTACCACTTGTGGTTCAAACTTTGTGAAGCTTTATATTGTTCTCAGAGTTTTTGAACGTCCACTTTATATACTCTGGAAGAAATCGCTGAAATTCTTGCCTTGATGATTCGCAGGATACTTGCAACCAAGATGCCCATTATGGGTCGAGCGTAATTTTTATAAAAACGATTTTTGTGCATGTTTAAATCTTGTTTCCTGTTGAGAAAAGAGTCTACTCAAGGGCGCGTAGTTTCAAGCAGAGAACGTGTAGGGATGTGTACTTTTTTAATCTACGTATATCTAACGAATGTATGGGTTATAAATCATTAATGTGGGCCTAATTTATTATTCATGATCCATCCAGTCATGTACTTACCTTCACCTTTAAGTTGTAATTTTCCGTTCACAAACAGACCTAAATACTCCTTGTTTAAGTGCCAAGCCTCATGGGATATGATTGGTACAATTGTCATTTATATTAATCCCTGTTTGTTATAATAATCTATCACAG